CCAACACGCATCCACACCATGAAAACTGCTGCAAAATGTCACTGCAAAACATGCAGACAGGAACACTTACCCCATAACATATACCCCCATCATTGTACCTCGTAACCTGGTGGAAGTAGGGCAACTATCCGGACTTAAGCATGGGCTGGACATGCATAAGAGTGGGACTGGATGGGTATAAATAGGAGCTGCCTCTATGGCCCGATAGGCCTGCTGCAGTCACCTGTGTTATGATGTTCTTATATACGTATCCCAAAACTACGAACCAGCGTCTGGCCAAAAGAGACGCCAGGCCGCATAAACTCACCTGCAGAATGTAGGCACGAATGTGTCACGACACAACGTAGCCGAGAAGATTCCAGGAGCACCGCCAGTGGTAGAAGGCAGAGCCGCACATGCAGGAGATGAGTAGGGTTGAGTCGAAGGAGGAGCCCCACACCCATACGCAGGGAAATACTCAGCAAACCAGAACGCCCCCAGGAGCTACGGGCCACGGACTGGAGAATTGAGAAGAGCGAGAGGCGAAGCACCCAAGAGAAAAGGGACACAAAACCCCAGCACATATGCACACCGCCCCTACCAAACAAACAACCATGGCACATGCATAGCAGGGATGCCAGATGTGGGTCGCCAGAAGTCACGAGCTGAATAAGAAACCACGAATGTGACTTGAAAATAAACAAAGTGTTGTTAACGACCGAATCCCATATGAGAGTACACAGGGCAGCCGCCAAACGTAGTTGAAAAAAGAGCAGAAAGGAGCGAAAAGAAACATGGCACAACTCCCCAGTTGGGCTACAAAGAGCCCTATCTGGCAACCCTGTGCAGTGCAGGACAGTGCACAGAGAGAAGCGACAAACATGAAAGAACGAAACAGGGCCAAAAACCGAGAAGCTTGGAGAAAGACCAACAAGCCCCAGAAAGGACCGGAAGACGACAGATGTTGCAAGAATACAGGAAGAAGCAAAACTTTCCTGATCCTTCTAGAACATAAAGAAGCAAGTGTGAAGCACAAAGGCACAGAAGGCAAAGTCGCACCCGAGACCAAAAGTCATGCAGTTAATCGAAAAGAAAAGAAAAACCCCGCAAGAGGACAGCGTACCCAGGAGGAACAGAGCCGGCCGCTATGATTGGTGAAAACAAGCTGCGTAGTACCCTGCGCCCCTACCAGTGCAAACTGCCCCCTACCCCAAGGCAAACAAGGGAGACAGAACATCCTAGCACACAAAGGGCGGCCGAAAACCAAGCAGTAAACGGCCTAGCAGGGGCAGAACCAAAGGAACTTGTGTAAGGTAACCCTAAGCCCCAAGGGCAGTACAGTACTTACAGGGCACCTAGGGAAGGAAAACATAGGCGCATGCAGCCCGAGTACTGGAGAATCACTCCCAGCTCAAGCACCACCTAGAAGACACACACACTCTAGGTACAGTGCTGAAACAACCACCGGAGCCAGAACACACGACCTCAGCCTCTAGCATCAGCCTTACAACTGAGGGTGGATAGCCGGCGTGAGGGGTCTGGGGCTACCCCTTCTCCCTCCCGAGAAGGGGGAGCTGCACATACAGTGGCGCGGCGACGTGTGACGTCATGATTGTTTGTTCGTTTCTTTTAGGGGAGTTCTATTTACTTGTTTGGCTTTTGGTAGCAATAATTTCACCAGAATTTTGTTTTGGGATGCTTACCTTTCTTGATGCCTGACCTGGTCGATGGGAAAAACATGGGTTGGGTTGACTGCATCTGTCTGGACCTAAAAAAGGCTTTCGAAAGAGTTCAACATAAGAGGTTGTTCTGGAAACTGGAAAATATTGGAGGAGTGACAGGTACGCTTCTAACATGGATGAAAAATTTTCTGACTGATAGAAAAATGAGGGCAGTGATCAGAGGCAATGTATCGGACTGGAGAAATGTCACAAGTGGAGTACCACAGGCTTCAGTTCTTGCACCAGTGATGTTTATTGTCTACATAAATGATCTACAAGTTGGTATACAGAATTATATGAACATGTTTGCTGATGATGCTAAGATAATAGGAAGGATAAGAAACTTAGATGATTGTCATGCCCTTCAAGATAACCTGGACAAAATAAGTAGATGGAGCACCACTTGGCAAATGGAATTTAATGCTAATAAATGCCATGTTATGAAATGTGGAATAGGAGAACATAGACCCCACACAACCTATATATTATGTGAGAAATCTTTAAAGAATTCTGATAAAGAAAGAGATCTAGGGGTGGTTCTAGATAGAAAACTGTCACCTGAGGACCACATAAAGAATATTGTGCGAGGAGCCTATGCCACGCTTTCTAACTTCAGAATTGCTTTTAAATACATGGATGGCGATATACTAAAGAAAGTGTTCACGACTTTTGTTAGACCAAAGCTAGAATATGCAGCGGTGGTGTGGTGCCCATATCTTAAGAAGCACATCAACAAACTGGAAAAGGTGCAAAGACATGCTACTAAGTGGCTCCCAGAACTGAAGGGCAAGAGCTATGAGGAGAGGTTAAGAGGCATTAAATATGCCAAAACTAGAAGACAGAAGAAAAAGAGATGATATGATCACTACATACAAAACAGTAACAGGAATTGATAAAATTGATAGGGAAGATTTCCTGAGACCTGGAACTTTAAGAACAAGAGGTCATAGATATAAACTAGCTAAACACAGATGCCGAAGAAATATAAGAAAATTTACTTTCGCAAACAGTGGTAGACGGTTGGAACAAGTTACGGGAGAAGGTGGTGGAGGCCAAGACCGTCAGTAGTTTCAAAGCGTTATATGACAAAAAGTGCTGGGAAGACGGGACCGCACGAGCGTAGCTCTCATCCTGTAACTACACTTAGGTAATTATACTTAGGTAATTACAGAATGCTTCCAACCACATGGGGGTTTCTATAGGCCATTGCTTCCCGTGCCTCTCTGAGGGGGCCAGGTTCTGGCTCGTGGTCCCCGGTAGGCCCACAGAACTCCTTACGCATGACTGATGCCACAGTCCGACATTAGCATATCAGCCTAGTAAGCTCCGGGGAGATGAAGAGGCTCCTCCCCAGAAAGACGTAGAGAACCTAAGAGCCAGGGCCCAAACGGATTCCAGGGATTGAGCGTGCACAGCCTGCTGGCACGTGAAACGAGACACAAAGAACAGAGACACTGCCTCCCGCAGGATCGGCGTAAACAGCTTCAACAGAGGAGCCAATGCCGACCCTGCCGAGACCAGCGCACCAGACCCCAGATCGACCCCAAGCGCCTCCACATCCTCCTTAAGCCAGTCCGAAGACACCTCAAGAAGGGGAAAATAAATGCAAGACCAAAGCCAAATGGCCATGGGTGCGCAAGTCCTCAGCTACCATGGCAGCCGAAAGGGAAGGAACCTGGAACCTGTACACGAAGCTGTACCAGAGCCAACATCCTGAGAAAGGGCAGGGGCGAACAAACAAGCATTGAGGTGCTCAAACTCTCCCCCTAGGTAAACCTGAACCACCGTAGGCGCCTCTCACCACTCAAGCATGTGGGACCAACAAAATGCATGCCACCTTCCCCCCTCCACCCCCCAACGAAAAGATAGGACAGTCATCCAACCAGGATGACTCCAGAACCTCGTAATGCACCAGGTAAGAAAAGGAAGAACCAAACTCAAATGAGGCAGGATCTATTATCGAGGCGTAATTCAGGTCGTGCAGGAGGTAAGCCATAATGGCTTCCGGTACCTCATGAGGTGGGATGTGGGAGGCCAAAAACCTCCAGAAGGAAGAGACTGAAGTACCTAAGGGAACCCAGAACTGAACCCATGGAGGGGTTGACGGCATATCAAACTCGTACAAGAAGAGGGGATAAGAAAACCCCATCCCCTGCAACAAGCCCCGCTCAGAGGGTAAAAAAACCCAAGCGGGGTCAAACGGGGCCCAAGCCCCCAAATCAGCCCTTTTACCGCCTTGGGAACCTCTATACTGAGACCAGGGGCAGAGCCGTCCTCCAAACCCTCTGCCTCAAAAGAAAAGGCAGAGGCCGCCGGAAAAGATGGAACGAAGGCCACTCCCCCTCCCCACTTAGGTCTGAACACAAACTCAGGTTTCACTCCACTGTATGTATCACCAAACTTAGTGTGTAGTTCCTTTCATCTGCCCAGCCTAAACCTCCCTACATGTGTGGTGCTCCTGAAATGGAGTGTGTAAGCCTAAATCCCTCAGTCACTGCAAACATTTATGTCACCTACCTCACTTTCGTTACCACTGAACTCGTCTGTCTATCTAGCTTTTATATCATCCTCATAACTACTACTTCTATCTTGAATGAACATCATTTAATGTATTTTTCATGGGCTCAATATCCTATTGTCGCATCTTGGTGGGACCACCCTTGGAGGTTAAGGGACGAGCCTCTGCAATAGCAACACATTGAGAATGTAGACGGGTGCACGTGGTTCCTGGGCAGGTTCCAGACATCTACAGGCAGTTATTGGCACCATTTGAACACCAACTGTATTCAAACACCAAGGATAAAGACCAAAGAGTCACAGAAAGATGATTGTAGGACTCTTGTACTCATAACACATGATAATAAAGGGAAGGCTCTGGTTGACTCACATTCATATAAAGCTGTAAAACAATTAAGAAAATTGAAAAAAGAACTAAAGCTGTTTTAGCTCTAAGTTTTCCTGCATTACTTTTTTCTAGTATTATTACTGGAAAAAATTACCCCTCACCTCTTCTCTTTCCACCTTGTCCTACTCCCAGGACATAAAATTGTTTCCTTCTCTGCTTGTCTTAGTTGTGATTCAATAAGGGTTCAATGACAGGCCCAAATGTTGCTGATTCTTTCCTTTCATATGTATGGGTTGGGCTATTTGTTTCAATCATGTTAGTGTGACTTATTCTATGCATGTGATTATCTTAATTTCTATGTTACCTGCAACATGCATTTGAATTTCACATACTATACTATACTGTATATTTATTGAAATAAAAAATATAATGAAGATGGATAATAGCCAACTCACTTGATGCTGCTGTGCTCTTTTACTCAAAACGAGCACCGTGTCCGAGTAAATCTTCTGCTGCCGTTTTGACATTGGAACGTGTATAATTTCATCATGTTTGGGTGGCAAGTCCTGAAAGGGTACATCCAGCAAATATAGTAATGTATTTAGCAACAATACTTTTACCTAATGTTATTCATAGAAAATACCTAAACAACAAAAGTACTGTCAGGTAATCATAATAAACTAAGAAGTACACTTTGCATAATATGAAAAGTACTCTTAATAGCAGAGTATTCTAGAGTAGCCTAAGTGCCACACTTAATCTCCAGTGTTGGGATCCTACTAAAAGCTGACAACACACTGGTACACAGAAAACAAAATTCCCCAAAAAAATTTCCTTCTTAAATTTGTCAAATTCATTCACTGGTCATGGAGAGAGAAAACTAGCATTGAATGTAATGAAATGCCAATTTCTGGGTGAGCCCTGGTCATTCCCTGAAGCTACTATCTCTATTAGTAATTACCTAAATTTTATTAACTAAGTGTAGTTACAGGACGATAGCAACACTCGTGGTGTCCCGTCTCCCCAGCACTCTGTTATATAACTAGTATAGTGTGCCATATTACTCAACCCCATCGCTCACAGAGTTCTATGGGACTACTGAGGACCAAAGCCAGAACCTTCACCCCCCCCCTTCCCTCCCTCACAGAGGCACAAAGAGTGTTGGCATTTATGCATTTAGTTATTGGTTTATGCCATCCAAAAGGAAAGGCACCCAGAAAGTCAGTGAACCAGAACAAACTACCTGTACTGTTGGCTTCGAACAAGACTGCTGCCTTGAGAGCTACTTAAAGAACTCCACAAACTATGTAAACAAAAGATACGAAATTCATGAAACTATTACCACCCTGTTCAACCAAATTCCACCCCTCTCCCATTCATTTGGGGGAAGGCATTAGGCAGCCTGCCGTCAGCTGGCTGCCCCACCCTCAGTTCTATGAAGATGCCAAACACCTCTGATGACCTGAAGGAAGAGAGGGAAGGGAGAGCCCAATAGCTCCAGGGAGCTACCAGGGCTCTCCCAGAAACAGGCGTTTCATTACATTCAACGCTGGCTTTCTAGGGGAAACCCCTTTTGCCAATTCACTCAAACCCGAACCCGGTGAACTGAGAAAGAATTAGATTCCTGGTAAGCAGACATGCACACTGGCTGGAAGCCCACACCACCCAGTCATCAAGGTAGGCCAAAACCCAAACACCAATAAGACAAAGATTGGCCACCGTGATCCAAACCAAACACACAAAAAGGCGAGGAGCTTGACTGACCCTGTTACGACCCTGGGTTCCTCAGTGGAAACCAGAGGTCAAAATTGAACTAAATAAGCTACGTTAGACTAGCAAAACGCAAGTCGATGTGTCTCTGTTCGTATCTTCCCTGCCAAACGTAGGACGAATCTTGTTGCTCACAAGTATTCAAACTCTTAGAGCTTGTGGTGGATTAAGTATGACATTGTTATAAGATTAACTACCCTGAGAACGAGGAAAGTAACAATATGTTGCATAGAGGAAGATTTTTAATGTGCTTAGCTGCACAATCAATTAGGCTCCTCCCGGCACCACCACATGCGGGAGGCCTGAGCTGGTCGCTGGGAGCGTTCTTCTCTGGCTGGCGTTCGTGGGGACAAGACCTACTCTGTGGCTGCACCTCTCCTCTCCTCCCTTCTCCTCTTACTTATTTCCCTTACCTGAAGTTCCTGTACCATTAAGTTAAGTACGGTGTGTTTTAAGTGTACCTACTCTGGTAGTAAAGATTGGTGAGACCTGGGGGTAGTATTTGCCAGTGTTTTGGGTACCCCTAAGGGTTGTTTTTGTATTAGGGTACCACGTGGTCTCACTACCCTAAGCTGCATCCAGCTTCAGTGCTTATCCAGTAGTACTTTACCCTAGCTTGTTCTCAGTGTAAACCTTGTATCCTGCCTATGTGGACCAAGGCTTTTAATGTAAGATAGGGTGGTAAAGTAATTATTATTATTGTTATTGGTGTGAGTGTATATGGGGGGTTGTTAAGGGGTTAATAAATAATTAAGTTAGAATGGAGTATCCCTTCTTCCTGTGTGGGAGAGCAATGATCAACCTCTAGACTGATCTTGTGTGTAGCCAAGTATTCAGCACTGCTTATAGTTTATTTGGGGGCCGGGCCTTTTAGCTCTCCCATAGTTGATAACTCTGTATTCTAACTACCCTTATCCCTTAATAGTACCAGTTCCCCATAGCAAGCCCACCATTTTACATAATAGACCCCAAACACAGAAGGACCCAAAAATGGGATGCCTGTTGCCCCATGATAAAGTCTAACCAATCTCTCAATCACCAATGTATATAGATGTATTCTATTTGGCATTTCCTTCCATATCATTCTCGCCTCTGCCCTATGAAAGGAGCGAACCAAGAAATGACTGATGTGAACTCCTCAAATCGTACTTCTGAGCTGACTAACTGAAGAAGAACTGGACCAGGGAAGCCCATGCTGCCCACACACTGGCTCCAAGACTGGCCAACCCCAACCAACAGCGGGCACCACCCTAGCCCTACCAAATCGCCTGAAATTACAAGGACAACCGCGAAGACACAAGAAGTCTGAAACCACCAAACAAGATGTAGCTGCAGAAGACAATAACTGTTCCACAACCTCCTCCAGAATCAACAACAACAAAACAGGATAGGCAGGAAATGAGAGCCACAGGTTCACAGTGAATCCAAGGAAGAAGCCAACACAGTCATTTCAGCCTGGAGAAAGAAAAAAAAATTGAATGTAATGAAAAGTTATTTTCTGGGCGAGTTCCGGAGGCTCCCCGAGCTATCCAGGCTGATAAGGATATCCCTAACTTTTGGCATCAAAAGATGTAGGTGTAGTTCTAGGCCTACCAGAGACCACGAGCCAGAACCTGCCCTCCCCCCCCCCAGAGAGACACGAGGAGTAATGGCCTATAAAAATGCACATGCGATTTTGGAGCATTCTATATCTGCCATCGGCCGGGACAAGCACCCAGAAAGGTAAGCGCCCCAAAACAAATCCCTATTCTGGTGAAAACGACGAAAATAGACAAACGAGTGGAGAGAACTCCCCAACTGAAAACGAGCTAACAAGCATGATGTCACACGAACCTGTGCAACTCCCCCCTCCCCAGAAATGGGAAAGGGTGCCCCAGTCTCCCACACCGGTGATCCACACCCCAGTTCTGAGGCTGGATATCAAAATACACGAAAAACTGCCGACCGGAGGGAGGGAGGGTTGCTGGGGAGGTTATCTTAAGGTTATCTTGAGATGATTTCGGGGCTTTTTAGTGTCCCCGCGGCCCGGTCCTTGACAAGGTCTCCACCCCCAGGAAGCAGCCCGTGACAGCTGACTAACTCCCAGGTACCTATTTTACTGCTAGGTAACAGGGGCATAGGGTGAAAGAAACTCTGCCCATTGTTTCTCGCCGGCACCTGGGATCGAACCCAGGACCACAGGATCACAAGTCCAGCGTGCTGTCCGCTCGGCCGACCGGAGCCTCTGAGATTCACCCAGAAAATAGCGTTTCATTACATTCAACACTGGTTTTCTGGGGAAAGCCCCTACAGCTCCCCAGAGCAACTTCACCAAAGAAGAAAAGAAAGGGGACTTACCCGAGAGACGGTCAGTGCTCACATCTCAACCCGAAGTCAAGACAACTGGCTGCAACCGCAGACCCAAAGCGACACGAGCCCAACTAGGCCCAGGAACATTCACGAGGTAGGGTGCCGCCAGGACCCTGTTCGACCACCAAAAACCCTGTGCCTGAATGTCAACCCAAGACATGTTACCAAAAATGGCAACAAGAACAGCCAACTTACGGACGTCATGGGCACAGGAATAGACTGCAGGCTGGCTAGACTTAATAACCCTGCGTACGACCTGAGAGACCCGTACCCGCGAGCAGGGAAGAAGGGAAACCGGATCAACCAAAAGAGCATCCCCGGCCACCAAAGTCATGACGCGGAAATAATGCCGGAGAGCCGCTACCAGACACGACACATGATGCACCCCTGAACTGACCAACCAGGCATCAACAACCCATGGACCCCTCCGGAAAGCAGAGGGGGACTCATTCTTTCCCAGAAAAGGAGACGGCTGCAATCAAATAAACAAATCACCACGACCAAAAGAGCAGAAACCCCTGTGCCAGAGGAGAGCATGAAGCAACCGGACCCAACCCCCAGAGGCCAATGCCAACAAGAAGAGAGCCTTAGAAAAACAATCCTGAACCGAAGAGGCCACAGCAAACCGAGGAGAAGAGAGAAAAGAGAGTACCCGGTCCAAAGACCAGGGGCCGGATTCAGGAAGGTACTTACGAAGGTTTTTCTTCTTAGCTACGAATGTTTTCGTTCTTAGCGCCTTCATGGCGGCTACGGCGGTATTCAGGTAGCTACACTAAGTGGAAAAACCTTCGTAAGTTCATTCCGGGATCTAAGTGCGGTTTCGACCACTCGTAGCTTTACGTAAACTGGATATAACTCAATTTATCTCTACTACATAACACTGGGATCGATTTTAAGATTTTAGAACATAAACAAAGTTTTATAAAAATTGAATCTAGTGAAGAGGAGTCCTTCGTGTTAGTTATATATGCATTCTCTGCTTGAAACTTAAAGTAAATATGTATTTTATGATAGTAGAATTAGTTTTATAATAGCAAGATATTATACCCGTAGTTATTAAGTAAATAAACACTGGTGAACATGAAATATGAGAGAAGGTGATGAGCCCTGCCTGATGGGATCATTTACTATCACCAAATGCCCCTGTTCACCTAGTAGTAAGGGTGTACCTTAGCTATACATACCCATTTCTAATTTACTTAGTTTGGTTTTATTTTGAAATTAAATCTGGGCGAGACATAAAATAAAAATATGCTGCACAAATGATGTTAGGTAAGGAGAAGGGTAAAAATGTCAAAAACTTTATTCATTGAATACTTAAAGCTATATTTATGACTACTGTATATAGACTATTAAAAATGAGAGAGGGAAGTAGGGGTCCAAGACCTCTTCCTGTTATACAATTTGGGTGTGGAACAAGTAATTATCAAAAGAAGGCACCATGCCG